GGGATGGCGTCCAGATGTCGTCGACTCCAAATCTTGTAGCCCTATCCCTAACGTTCTTAATTACACGGCCCCGATAGTTACATGTACACTCCTTGTCTTTTTACAAGCGTTTTTCTACGGGCGCGCATTTACTGCCAGCCAGCCAGCCAGCCAGCCAGCCAGCCAGCCAGCCACCAAGTGAGATTAAAAGCTACTTTTTACAAAAAAAAATTTTTGCAAAAATGCGCTAAAAAGAACATAAAACTGCATTTGAAGGATATTGCAGAACCTTAAAATCCTACCAAAAATACCAAATGCATCCTAAGATCCAACGCCCTATTAAAAAAATTAAGAGACTATACGAAACTAATTGATATACAGGGTGATCCGAAATATGATGTTAATACTAAAGGGGCTAATTCTTTGGCTTATTTTACGACCAAAAGATCATATAAACCAGTGGTTCTCAAACTTATTTCCATGGCGCCCCCTTTCATAAAACTAAAATTACTCACGCCCCCCCCCCCCCCCCCCATTCCGATTAAAAAATAAAAAGTGCTGTTACTACAAAAGTATTTATTAACAAATTACAGGGTGAATTTTTTTTCATTATGGAGACCCGGAAACCGTAAGTGATACAAGGCCGTTTGGGCCAAATTTATGCCAAATTGTATGGTCATTAATTTTCCCTCCCAAAAAGTAGCGAATTACGGCCAAAAAAACGAAAAATGTCATTTTCGAGAATACGTTGGCGTCCATTTATTTTATTTATTTATTATCCCTTTCTTGTTCTGGGATATCAAAAAATAATTTTAACAAAAGCTTGGTAAATTTTTCTCAACTTTTTGACGGTGCTAAAAAAGTTGTTATGGCCCATAAATTATTATGTTTTTCAATCAAGTCGGATATCGCATCCATAACATCAACGGCTTTTTAGGTCGTTTTTGATTCATTCGAGATCTCTACTTTTATAGCACATTAGCAACATCATATATGGCACACTGGCAACATTGTGCAACATCAATGTTTTCATCAGCATAGAAAGGCGAATTTACCGAGTTGTAGATACCTTCTTATTGGTGTAAGAATTGGTCAAATACAATTGTACATAAACAAACATACGTAATAGGTATATATTTGCCTCAAATACATGAGGGATCTCGCGCCCCCCTTAACAACGCCTTGCGCCCCCCAGTTTGAGAAACACTGATATAAACACAATGTACTATAAACGCTTCGTTACCGATCTATAGAGTAGAAGTATCGATAGAGTGGTGCTTTTTTTAGAGCTCATCTCCATTTGTTGCCCCTTTTTTTCAGTGCGCCGCTGGTGAATTTGTTTCGAAACTTTTTGATCTCTTGTAACTTTTTGTAACTGCGACTGTCCAGTAGGCACTGCCTTTATTTGGATGATCTGTTTTATTAGTTTTGACAGTCGGCATATAAAATTGTGTTGTTGCATATGTTTATTAAAAGTTTAAATTGTAAAGTGTACGGTAGAACTATAACACCCTGTAGATCGGTAACGAAGCATTTGCGGACCTATGTTTATATGAATGTTTACTTTTTAGTAATAAATTTAACATTTACATGATATTTAGGAACACCTTGTATATTGGAAACTATTGGAACTATTGGAAAGTTCTCCAGAACTTCAGTCGAAACACCAACCATCCACAAGAAAATGTTTTCGTGTTTTTTTTAATTAGACGGTGCCACTTTTAAGTCAGAACTGGCCAGTCCTTTACAAGTCAGAAACAATCTAGCTACCGTTTGTTTCTGCGATAGAGAGTGAAAACGAAACGTTTGACTATTTGGGGCGACATGTACCCATGTAAGATAGAACACGTTAAAAAGTAATCGTAAACAATTTACATAAAGCGCATTTCCACTTGCATTCATTTCCCATTTGTAAAATGCAACTTCTGTTAAAATCGTCAAAATCCGGCCACAAATATGAAAGATAGGGTTGCACATGGGCAATCCATTTTTGACGTGCTACTTCAATTTCAGTTTATGAGAAGAATTTCATTTCAATGCTTTTCTAAATAAGAAAGTTGGAACTGCGCATGCGCAAACCTAAATTTTGAAACTGGCGTTTGATTTTCCTTTATCCCAAGTGCCTATGTATCAAATTTCATTCAAATACTTTTATAAGTAAAAAAGTTTGCAATTCGGTTTATAAATGCTCGAGATGCGAAAAGGGCACTGTGAATTTTGAATCGATTCGATTCAACTTTTGGCATTGCGTATTATATGGCTAAGGCTATGCCCATATTGAATTTCATGCAATTCAGTTCATAACTAACGGAGATGTAAAAGCGATCGGACATTTCTAAACAAAGTTATCGTTCACACGGACAGATAGATGGACAGATAGATGGACAGACAGACAAAGGAACAGACGGACAGACCAACAGGCAGACGACAGATAGCAATGCAAAATTATAAACGATCTCTAGGATCGTTAATAAACGGCCAAGGGTAAAATTATGGAACATGTAAAAAACGGTTTTTTGTTTTTTTTTACAATAACTTTTTTTGTAAGCGGTACAGAAAAAATTCCTTCCTTGGTACAAAACTCGACACCATAACGAACCAAATAGCGAAAAAAGTAGAACAATAGCTCTTAAGATAAAAAACTAGTAGCGTCGCAAAGTTAGCGGACGGACGGACGGACGGACAAAGTGGCCACAATAGCGCATTTTTTTTATTTTTGTGGAAATGCGCTAAAAAGAGAAAAACATCCCATTTTAGTTATTTTACACAGAATGCACGTAGTAAAAAAATGTTTCTGAGATTCAACTCAAAGTTGGTTTTGTTTAAATGCAACACCCTGTATTTAACTTCAATTTTTTCGAATTTTTTTTCCTGATTATATTGATGTATCACAACGTATATATTTTTAAAATTTTAACCATGACCTATAAATAAAATATTTTTTGACGGTTTTTTAAATAGAAGGCCATGGTATTTATGGAGACTTTGTATTGTTTATTGTATCTATGGTAACTAAGACAAATCAATAAAAATCGCTGACGGTAGAAGCATGACATTTCAAAATTTGAAAATATGATATAACATCCAGAGTGTTAATTAAGGTCATGGAGATATTTCAGGGGGTGATAGTACTCGTCAAAATAAGAAAAAAAAATGCAAATATATGCATGGTGGCGTTTTCTTTATACAGGGTGGCAAAGCTTCAATTTTTTCTCTCTTATATTCTGTGATGATTGTTTCAAATTTGATACATCAATTATTTTTTAAAATTTCTACAATAAAGTATCAAAATAGTTGGTCGCAGTATACCGGGTGTTACATTTTCTCGAATGTGCTACAATTTTATCTTTCAGAACATTTGTTGGAGCACCCTGTATGAATTTCGGTATAAAGTTCACTCTCTGTTCCTTTGTTTTACTTTCTGGCCTCTTCCACTATTGTGTATTGTGTAGTGACAATGAAGTCTACGACCATAGATGGTACATAGGACGATTATAAACGAAATTGGTCAAAAAAATTTGCTTGTTACACCCGGTATTATTATTATTGTGGCATTAAAAGTGAAATAGGGCCACGAAAACCACCCAACACACGGTATACATTTTCAATGTACTTTTAGCTTAAAAATTCTTTAATGAGTACCCCGATACACCAAGAAAATTGGCAACGTTTCCACAAAAAATATGTATTAATTTAGGGTGCAAGTGTTCTGTTACTTGTCTTACGACGTATCCGACAAATAAGTTGATTTTTGAGGAATCCGAAATCGAGGCTATCACATACTTAATCCAAGAAAAACTCTCGGATTCAGATTTAACACAGATAACGAATCCTAGAAACTTATCTGGGATCAACGTATAAAGTTTTAAGGGGGTACTGTAATGGTATTTAACCCCGTTTCACAACTTCCTGTACGTGGGGATGTCGTACATATAGGAAGCACCACCACTTTTGACCCGATGTATTGATTTGTTGATCTTCAAAACGTTTACTGTTTTTGCTTCAGAGAAATCAGAGTACAGGAGGTATCAACTATTGTATTATTTATGTTCAATCCCAACGCTGTATTTCGGGTTTTAGTTGCTGACTTTTTTGGTCTACGATCTTCAAATTTTCCAAAAAAAAGTCAAATGAAAACTTAGTACAAACAGCCGAGTATGTAAGATACATAGGTTGTTCCCTTCTTGTTGCGCCACTGTATATCACTGCATGATTTGCTTGAAATCGTGTATCTAACTACGTTCGTGGTAATTGTGGCCTAGTACCTGCGAATTTGATCACTATGCAGGTATACCTTTCGTAAATGAATCCCACGACATGACTTTTAGGGGCGACACAACCCAAAAACTCCTCATGATCGTATAAATAACACAAAAACGTTATGGAAATGTGTACCTATCTGTGCCATGGAAAATTAGAGCCAAGTTGATTAATTCATTTATGATTGCGCTAATCGCGCCTAATTGAAGTTTATACCATTTTTATGAAATAATTGCCGTTCGTGTTTGTCAATTGCCCTGTCAAATGGTCAACGCTCCTCCATTTTATTGTCAGCAGCTTATCATTGACCGTCACCTGCAAGGTACTTAGTCCGAGTTTCTAAATTTGAGGCACGAAATCCAAATTTAAACACATTCCGCTTTCTTTGTTGCCAAACAAGCTTTTTGGCAAAATCTTGGACTTTTCGTCATCTTGTTTTGGAGCAAGTTTGGGAATTTACTGGACCGCTGCATCCTTCTATTTTTAGCGGTTTTGGCAATCGGCGATTGATCACAGCTGATACCTTTGCATAATCCGCGCGTCCGAATAACCTTTTGACATACAACAGCCAAACAGCAGTTTTACATTATCGATTTTTTTTTCTCAATTAGTGCTCAAATTGGCGTTAATAGGTAAACGAAATTAATTATCAGCTGCATGTTGCGCGATTTGGAGTAATTAGCTTGAACAAAATAGAGGTCAAGAAGACGATGCTATTTTTAAATTGCGGTTCGTGTAAATAAATATGGGCGAATGTTTACCTTAAATTATTGGTTGTCTGATGTGCTTGTTTCGCAAACTTGCGGGGGAGATTATCTGAAAAGAAAACAAAACTGGATTAATCTTACAGAACAGGATCAAATGTACACAGAAAAATTCTCAAAACACGACCAGATTTAGTTTTTGACGATTTAATAGCAGATGTTTATTTCGTGTAGTTTTGCAAGTGTCCAAAGTGTAAACTGCGGCTTTTTGGCTTAAGATTTTCTTTGTCAGATTTTGACATAAATTAATTATGCTTGACTTATAATTAATGAACTGACGGAAAAGCTTGGCTATAATTGAAAGCACTAACAACTTGAAGAGTGTCGATCCATAGTGCTTCTTCGGGGCGGTTACACCATAGCAGTTCAGACGGAGTTCTTTTTATTAACATAACTAAGAAATTAGATTGGATCTTGACGACACTGGGCCAGCCAAATGAACCGAGATCTAACTATAAATCTACAACCAGCACTTTATAGTGCTTCATACCTTGCATTAGCGTGTGGCACCGTTTACAAAATTGCCACTTAGTGCAATGCTGACTGCACTACACCTTTTGAGATATAATGTTCCGAATGGAAGGGTTCAGTGTGGCACTTGAGATTTTACTCAAAGAGTCATGTGGACAAACAAAACGCATCGAGCACATGGTTGGTGCTTTTAACGAAATGAGGCCTGAGGAACGAGATAGTACTCATAGTGTTTTAGCACGCCTCCCAAAGTCCGTTTGGCGCGCTGCACATATTGAAACTGCATGGTATTTTGTATCTTTATTGAGAGCAAAATATTGGTTAATTTACGAATCTAAGATGTGTCAACCAATTTATACGAACTTCTCACGTTCGTTATTTTCTTTATCTCTCAAAATAAGAATACACTTATTTCGTGAAATAATAGCTTTTTACAATACAAATTTGATATTGATAACTATCCTTACAGTACAAAAAATGAAATTGCTGTGTGCCCCACGTTGGGCGCCAAATAAAATTGCTGTGTGCAATGGCAAACGATTACCCACAAAATACCTGTCCGACCAGCTCAATTTAATAGTCACTCACAAAAACAAATAACAGGAAACTCTTTATCCAGGATCGTAATTTGGACTTAAACTGATACCCCTGTTAATTTAAACCCAACGCTATAAGAAAAAAAATCAGCATTCAGGGCCAGAGACAAATACCACGCGACAAGAGCTCGATCGAAACAGGTCAAGTAAGGTCTTAATTACCTTATAATGTCAACAACTCAAATATCCAGCCTACACACTGCCAATTCCATTAAACAGACGGGTACAAAAACAAGTATAAATTGTGCACAGATAAAGCGCATTTTTGTAAACCGAAATAGTTTTTTTTACATCACCAATGGATATATTTCTTGCAGACGTCTCCATCGCTCTTTGTAAGTACCCTCTTCCGACAATCCGTTCTTGAGGTATAAGGGAATATACCCGACCACGGTAAGAGGTCGGGGAGGAGGGCTATGATTGGTAGAAATTAATTCCTTTCGTTGAGACCTTTCATTAGAGTACCGTGAAGGATAAAACTAGTTACACTCCCCCTCCCCCTCCACCCCTTGTTTTGATAAGAGGGCAGAAAGAAGGGCAGTAGTTGGTAGAAAACGGAGGTAAAATTAATTTTTAACACCCCCCCCCCCCCCCCTCAGGCCCCGTCGCTCACTGATCTCGAAAAAGAGTCGCACGGGAAAATTATTAGACACCGAAATTTGATGGTCGTCTGGCACACCTTCAAGGTATAGGCTACTTACTGCAAAAAATTCCAGGACTCTAAGACCATTCCCCTAGAAGTAGTTCAAAACGGTAGAAGTGGGTCCGGACCATATAAAAAGTCCGGACGGACGGACAAAACGCAAACAATAGCACATTTATTTTTAATTCTTAAAAAATGCGTTAAAAACACAAACACTAAACTGGCTCCTTCTAAGGAAATTCAATTCTTTATTTCATAACAACTTTTGCCCGAATAGGTACGTGACACAAAACTTCTCCTTATCTCGAACTCGACTGTTTAATTTAACATCACTGAAAATCTAATGTAATTCACTAACTAACGTCCTTCAATAAAATTATCATTACAGAAACTGACGGTCTTTAGTTCGAAAACCGAGAAACAAGTGGGCCCGAAGCACGGCGGCGGCCCCGACTTCTTTCTTTCTTCTTTCTTTAGGTAAAATAAACATTCTCTTATCTAAAGCGCGCACCCGCGACAACACCTGTTTACAACATTAATTATCTTTTAGCGATAAGCACAACTGTTATCTGCGACTGGAGAAAAACATGAGATAAACTTGTCAAATGTTACGGGCATAATTTCAAGGTGTTCCTTACCTTAAAAATTGTAACTTCTTTACAATTAAATAAACAAATTACAATGCGACTGTAAACAAAAATTAACCATCGTCTCTTAATACAACAGTATTATAACTACTGCAAATTTCATTAAAACAGACCCCACCGATTTTGAGATTTTACCTTTTAAATTGAGCGAACTAGACATTTTACTCTGATAGTGGCAGCCATTCAAAAGAATAGAAATGAGCAAAAAAAATGCCCGCCGTTACATGGAAAAAGGTAAGACAACATTGGTTACTAATACTTTCACAGTACAAACAGGATACGAAGAGTCACATACGATTGTCAGTAAAGCAATTTTTTGCCACTCAACTCGCATTCAGGAACTTTAATTGTATTAAATGTAAATCGGGCTCATGTTCTATAGCACTCAGAAGTGCAGATAGGGTGGGGTAGGCAGGACACGTGCTCTGGGCGCCGATCAAAAGTGGGCGCTAAAATCGCTGAAATTTAAAAATCAAAATAAATCACGACATCATATCAAACATCCCATGAAATGAGTGGAGGGCGCAAGAGGTACCGATGAAGGATACACTTGGGCGGTGGAGTTTATTTTGTCTGCTTCAATTAATCCCGACCGACCCATTACTATTTGAGCTCTGCTCTATGCAATAGTATGCGATGACTACACCACCCACAAAGCACCTGAAATAAATCTTGGGCACGAATAGAAACATCTGGCATGAAGACTGTTTCTGGGTCGCACAAAGGATTCGAATAAACACACACGATTAATCGATTGACAATGACAAACATTTATTACGAAACAAAACAAAATCCTGGCGGACGTGACGTTTAATCCTAATCCGATTGATCACAAAAGCAGTTGACCCTTAAGGGACAGCTCTATGGAAACATGCATAGCATCATTAAATGGGCCCTTCCATATGAAGAATATTTTATATAAATTGTTTTTTGATATCCCCACTTGTTTCCGCAATAATCGATTGTCCCAAGATAAATGGGACACTCTGTATATAAATTTCGATTTTAAATTCAAATATAAGATTTGGAAACTGGTAGTCGCAAACTCGCAACTCGCAAGAAATGACGCACCCTCGGCTACACCCCAATTCGTCTCGCTTATGCAGATGCTGTTAAACCCCAATCATCCCCTGAAACTGATATCTTTCCTAGGCAAAAATGCTTGTTTCAAAACTATCGTATATAACCCGCTATTTATTTTCATTCTATGCCGAATTCCATTGTTATACTCTGAAAACGAAATGTTAAAGGAAAAATTATATTACGAGTACAATGGGATGCAACAAAAAAAAGACGGCATCATAGAAAAACTATTCCTATATGGAATAAATTGATTCTAAGTAACCCTTTTTCCCAAGATAAAGGTTATTAAAGTTTTGACCCCGTCGCCTAAAATTTCATCCAAAATGGTGCCTGAATTGAAGTGATTTTAGTTACAATAGTGCAGTGCGCACGCCACTGACGTCAACAACAATAAAAGTTAACGAATTTGTCTGAATTTCGTATTTTTGGCCCAAAACATAATTCGAAAAAGTCGAAAAACGTCCCACGGGCGTTGATGCTTATATTTTCAATGAACCGGGCACACAAATAGAAAGTAATCTAAAATCAATGTAATACGTAATTTGAGATCTGGAAGAACATTATACATGTAGCGACACACAGACAGAGCGAGAAAAATCCTATAAAATGTTTTGTGAAGGACTTAATTTACTTTTTGAGTTATTCGCGAAAAACCACCCGAGAACGTTGGGTTTTTGGGTGAAAAATTGATACTCTTACTAGCGAATAATAGCGAAAAGTATTTGGCTGTCACAAAAAAAAACTTTATAGAACAACAGCTGCTTAAAATTAGTCAATATATCCCTTCCAGGACTTATTTTCATTAAACATGTTTCAATATCGAAAAGGGAGGTCGATGGAGACAACGAAGGTGCGGACTTCTAGATTCTAGAAGGCTGGAAATGCAATTAGGTATGATGCACTTTTGCGATATGCTTTACGTTTCCCAATGAATTTGTACAAATCAACTGTCATTCTTGAAGCGAACAAACGATGAACGTAAACAAAATTGAAATTGACCAATTTGTTTAAACAAAGTGCTTAACAATGTAAATACATCTATATACTCGCAGATTAGTGTACGATTAACGGACAGACATTGATTGATGCTCCCATTACACCAATTAATAACAAAAAGCACGGGCGTTGATGCTTATATTTTCAATGAACCGGGCACACAAATAGAAAGTAATCTAAAATCAATGTAATACGTAAATATAAAAAACTCCATTTAGTGTGTGTTGTAGACACAGGAAAGGGTACGGTTAACGCTATTTACGTAAAGTCACAAGGTGGTACAGTCGCGAGTTTGTAATTTTCCTGTAGAAAATGCAGGAAACCGATCCAATCACCTGCAATATTGTTATTTAATGGCGAATCAATTGTTTTCGTAAGTGCTTACGGACGAAACGGATGCGGTGTTTAGCCGGATGAAGAGGTCATCAGGTGTAAAAGTACCGTTTTTGTCAACGGATGGCAATAAATAACGGCTAGTTGATTTCTGCAATAAACTGGACAAATAAGGTGTATTTGACAAAAAATTCCCATTGTTTGATCATAAAGAAAATTCAAGTTCATTCACTTTGGCAAGATTTGCTTTATTTTCTCTCTTGGTGTCAACATTTACTTATATTTTGTATTTGAGGTTGATCACGTCGTATATTACTCTACTTTCTCCTGATAGGCAAACAAAAGAAGCGAAAGTATTTAGGAATTTAGAGCAATATAACTAT